AGGGCTGAAGCCAACCTCCATCCTCTTCAGTGTGTGCTGTGAACTGAGTTCCAGCACCAGTTCTCAGGGAAAGTGAGGGGCAAGGACTCCCTGGAAGGACCCTATTTGCATATAGAGCCGCTCATGTGGCAGAGGCTGGAGGAGAAAAGGAGGCCTAGGGCAGCCCAGCCCACTGAGGAAAGTGGGAATGTGTCACCATGGCCTGGACTCTTGTCTTCCTGGGGATGCTCTTTTACTGCTCAGGTAGGGACAGGCCTTGGGAATAGCCAGCATCACCCCTCTGCTTCCGAGTCTAGAGAAAATTTATTTGAACCTATCCAATATCCTCTGAGTGTGTGTGTTTGTAGGGTCCCTGTCCGAGCCCGTGCTGACCCAGCCGCCCTCCCTCTCTGCATCTCTGGGAACAACGGCCAGACTCACCTGCACCCTGAGCAGGGTCATCAGTGTTGGCAGCTCTAACATCTACTGGATCCAGCAGCATCCAGAGAACACTCCCCGGGATCTGCTGTACTACCCCTCAGACTCCGATAAGCACCAGGGCTCTGGGGTCCCCGGCTGGTTATCGGGCTGCAAATATGCCTCGGCCAATGCGGGGCTTCTGCGCATCTCAGGGCTGCAGGCCGAGGCCGAGGCGGACTCTCACTGGGCTACAGCTCACGGCAGTGGGAGCAGCCACCGCTCCTCCCAGCGTCTCAGAGAAGGAGGAAGTGGGTCTAAAACCTCTGGACCCACGGATCTTGTTTCTGAGCCGCTTTTCAGTAAGAAACTTACCTGGAGAGACATGGCGGGGTGGTCTCTTCTGCATGACGATCTATCCGTCAACAGGGAAAGAGGAAGAGTCATGTAATGCACGGAAAGTGACATAAAATGGGGGCATCGGAGGAAGATACGGACACATGAGATATCTGAGCCCCACCGCACATCCCCCCTCAATCTGGAGAAGATGGACAGGAATGAATTCTGTGTCTACAACGGAACATACTGCCCAGCGAACATTCCTCCACAGTCTTCTATCTTAGTCCATCAAGGGTGACCTTGTGTCACTACTGATGTATCCACAGCTGATCCATTGACAATAACCCTGGTCACAGACACAGTCTCCTCTCTCTGAACCAGCTACACATGAACTTGGACCAGATCCTACAGACTCGCCCTGACAACAGCCCCCACACCCTCCTCCTGTTCTCTCTGCTCCCGCGTCCCTCGGGCTTCAGACTCTCCCTCTGGCTCTTCAGTCTGAGCTCTGTCTCCACAGCACAGTTTCAGAGAAAACTGGAAATGATCTTACTCTAGTTTCCAGTCTCCAGTGTCCATGTCTCGGCAGGAGAGAGACCAGAAAATACAGCTGCATGCAACCCCCACATTCTCCTTCCTGCTCTCACCCCAGGCTCCATTTTGTGTGCCCAACACTCCCAGTCAGGCTCTTTATTTTTTAGAGATTTATTTCTTTATTTTCGAGAGAGAACAATTGGGAAAGGCAGAGAGAGAGGGAGAGAGCGTCTTAAGGAGACTCTGCTCTCAGTGAGGAGCCCTTTGCGGGGCTGGAGCTCAGGACACTGACATCACGAACTGAGACAAACCTAGAGTCGGAAGCTAAACCTACTGTGAACCTCAGGCACCCCTCCGTCAGTCTCATTAATATGAAAGTAAAGTTATTGCATTTCGTGAAAAGGATGTATTCATCTACCTTTATTTATTTGCGCATGGGATCTGCTGATTTTTTACACACTTCAGAATTAATTGATGCCCCACTCATCGGGAGTCTTAGAAGAATCCAGAAAGGATCACCTGCATATCTTAAGATATGTCGTTATTTTTCTTAGGCTCCAGATGCTCATTCCTAAGAATTCTCTCGTCAGGAATTCCACCACAAAATATTTTTCTATAATTCCTGAAGTATCAGGCTGTAGTCTTCTCTCAAAAACACACAAAACCATCAGCAATATCTTT